GGCAGAGTTAACAGTCCACAAACTCAGCACAGATCCTACCAGAAGGCCGGTGGTGCAGAAACGTCGCCTTTTTGGCCCAGAGAAACAAGCCGCCATAGACGAGGAGATACAAAAGCTGTTACAGGCAGGTTTCATTCGAAGAGTGGAGTACTCCGAGTGGGTGTCCAACCCTGTGCTCGTCAAAAAGCCAAATGGCAAGTGGAGGATGTGCATTGACTTCACCAACCTCAATGATGCGTGTCCAAAGGACCCTCACCCCTTGCCAAACGTTGAGAAGTTGGTGGAGCGGGCAGCTGGGCACGAACGGATGAGTTTTCTTGACGCCAGCTCGGGCTATCACCAGGTTCAGCTGCTGCTGGACGACCAGGAGAAAACAGCTTTCTACGCAGGGGACGCTATCTACTGTTATGTCATGATGCCATTTGGCCTCAAAAATGCTGGAGCAACATACCAGAAGCTGGTGCAAATCATCTTTAAGCTCCAGATCGGCAAGAACATAGAAGTATATGTAGATGACATGATAGTCACCAGCGTGCGAGCTGAGAATCACATTAGCGACCTGGATGAAACTTTTCAAAATTTGCGTCGAGCTCAAATGAAACTGAATCCCTTGAAATGCACGTTTGCTGTGGAATCAGGGAAGTTCCTAGGGTACGTGGTATCCAAGAAAGGAATTGAAGTAAATCCAGAGAAGGTTGAGGCCGTTCAGCAGATGGAACCGCCAAGGACTGTCAAAGACGTGCAGCGTTTGACAGGCCGTGTTGCTGCGCTGCACAGGTTTATAGCCAGGTCGGCAGAAAGATGCCTCCCGTTCTTCAAGGCCCTGCGAGAGCCCAAGAACTTTCAATGGACCGACACATGTCAGCAGGCCTTTGACGAGCTCAAACAATACTTGGCGTCAGCGCCCTTACTATCCAAGCCTGTGGAAGGGGACAGCTTGTATCTGTATTTAGGGGTCACAGCAGAGGCGATTAGCTCGGTTTTACTCAGGGAAGAGAATAAGAATCAGAAACCTATCTGCTATGTAAGCAAAGTCTTACAAGGCGCCGAGCAGAATTACCCAGTAGCAGAGAAGGCTGCTTTTGCCTTGGTTTACACAGCTCGTAAGTTGAGAGCTTACTTCCAATCCCATCAGATTGTTGTCTATACCGATCTACCATTGAGAAAAATATTGCAGAAACCTGAACTCTCTGGTCGGCTTATTGGGTGGAGCGTCGAGCTGAGTGAATATGACCTGAAATTCCAGCCGCGCACAACCATAAAAGGCCAGGCCCTTGCAGACTTTCTGGTAGAATGCATTCCAACGGCTGTGGAAGGAGAGACACCTGAACACCCATCCTGGGTTTTGTACGTGGATGGAGCTGTTAATATCGAAGGATCAGGTGCTGGAGCAGTGTTACTGGGCCCTGAAGGTTTCAAGTCTGAGCACGCGCTAAGGTTTAAGTTTCAGACGACCAATAATGCTGCAGAATATGAAGCCCTCATATATGGACTGAAGCTGGCGGCCGAGCTGAAAGTACAAAACATTCAGGTCTTTAGCGACTCTCAGCTCGTTGTCCGTCAAGTGAGTGGCAGTTGCGACATCAGGGATCCCCAGCTTAGTCGTTATGCCTTAGTGGTTAATCGATTGAAGTCAAGGTTCGCTTCATTTCAGATCGACAAAATACCACGGGCTGATAACCAACGAGCTGACGAACTGTCAAAGTTGGCCTCCTCGCAGGACATCAACCCTCAAAGATCAACAATCGTCGAGGTGCTCGACGCACCAAGTTACGCTGATTTCTCAGTCGACTGCCAACTACTCAGTGCAGATCCCTCTGCACCGAGCTGGACTACCCCACTCATAAATTATCTGCAAAGTGGCGAGCTGCCTCAAGATCTGTCCACTGCGAAGTTGATTAAACGAAGGGCAGCGCATTTCACCTTGTTAGATAACCAGCTCTACAAACGAGCAGCCTCAATGCCCCTCTTACGCTGCCTTACTCCTTACGAAGCTGAATATGCCGTGAGAGAAGTTCACGAGGGAGTTTGTGGCACGCACATCGGTGGCAGAACTTTAGCTCGGAAGCTCCTAAGGCATGGTTATTACTGGCCCACTATGGTCGAGGATGCACAGAATTATGTCAAAAAGTGCCCGACCTGCCAGTTCAATGCTGATGATATTCACATGCCAGGTACACGAGCTCGTCCTATAGTTTACATTAACTTAGTGACTGTCTCTGAACTGAGCATGAGTGCCTTCCTTTAAACAGGGGAAATGCTATCATCTCTTGCATCTCCTTGGCCCTTCGCTCAATGGGGTGTCGACCTGCTCGGCCCCTTCATCAAAGGTAAAGGAGGCTGCACTTTCCTGGTCGTTGCAGTGGATTACTTTACTAAGTGGATAGAAGCTAAACCATTGTCCACGACGACAGAAAGGAAAATAGAAGAGTTCTTGTTCAATTCAATATTGTGCAGGTATTCTTTGATGACCGAGGTCATAAAATAAATGCAACCGTGATTTGTAGCTCAGCTCGCTAATCTGTGTGCAGGTTCGGCATACCTAATCGGATTATCGCCGACAACGGGCCACAGTTCCGAGCAGCAGCGTTGAGATCGTTTTGTAACGATTATGGCATTGAGCTTGCCTTGACGTCTGTATACACTCCACAGTCCAATGGGCAAGCCGAGTCCGCCAATAAAATCGTCTTGCGAGGCCTCAAGGCCCGAGTGGTGGCTACACATGCTAATTGGGTTGACGAGCTCAATAAAGTGCTCTGGTCTTGTCGCACCACACCCAGCTCGGCCACAGGCGAAACTCCTTTCACCCTGGTCTATGGAGTTGAGGCCGTCATCCCAGTAGAGGTGGGATTGCCATCCGATCGAGCAGGCCAGCATGACGACCTCAGCAATGAGCAACTCTTAAGGGAGAATCTGGACTTTGTGGAAGAAATCAGGGAGATGTCTAGAATAAGAAACGTGGCACATCAAAACCGTGTTGCAAAATTTTACAATAAAAGGGTTCGAGCTCGCCAGTTTCAGGTTGGCGATCTGGTTCTACGCAAAGCCGGGTTAACTAACACTAATTCGCACATGGGCAAGCTCGCTCCTAATTGGGAAGGCCCCTATATGGTGGTGCGAATCAAGCGACCTGGCTCTTACGTATTAGCAGATATACATGGGCGTCAGTTACCCTACCTTTGGAACATACAGAATCTCAGAAAGTTTTATAGTTAATGTGTGTGGTCTTATTTCGCTTAGGGTATTATTCAACAGCTGTAAACAAAGATGTACAGAAATTGCAACAGAGATCCAAATAAAACTCATTCTTGTATTTCATCAATGATGTTACAGAAGTACATGCGATCTGAATACAGTGATCAAATACAAAAATGCTAAAACAAAAGTACAAAAGAATGAAACAAAACCCCTAATCTAGTCGTCCGTCAGATCGACGGGCATAGATGCATCAGCAGCAGCTGCAGGAGAGCGAGCTGAAGGAGACCGGGCTGCTGGCTCAATGGCTGGTGCGACAACGGGCGAGCCAGCCGACAACACAGCGGGCTGAGAGCTGGGTGGGGTACTCGAAGGCTCTTGCTCAGCCACAGGAGCACCCTCTACCCAGGCGTCAAAGGAGGGTAGTCCCGCTGGATCCTCCCCGTCCTCCAGAATGGACGGTGGCCAGACGGGCACGCCCTCCTCGTTCAAGTCCCATCTCAGCCTCACTGCTGCATCAGCAAGGGGAGCAAGGCTCTTACCCTGTTCGTCCAGCTCCTCCTCGTCGAAGAAGACCAGCTCGCGTATGGGAAAGTCCGGGCGGTGCTGCAGTACTTTCCCACGGATCTCATTGTAGATCTCCGTGGTGACATTAGCAGACGCCACCGCCACGGCGTCCTGAAACGCTGCCGAGCCGACGAACCATTCCGCCCCTTGAGCCCGGGCGATGGCGACAGAACGGGCATGGGAAGCCTTCAGCTCGTTCAGAGCCTCCCCAGTAGCAGCAAGGTTGCGGTCCGCCTCGGCGACCTGGTGCCTGAGGGAGCTCAGCTCGTGCTGGGCCTGATCCCTGTCGGCCTCAGCCTTCTTGGCCCGCTCTTCAACCCGGCCGGCCTCATCCATTGCTGCTTGAATCCCACTCTCGCGCTCGGCCC